GGCAAAATTCCACTTGCCTTCAGTGAGGCCAGGAGTTCAATCCTTCATGTTTTGTTTTATCTTCAGATTTACCAGGTAATTTCTGCCTCTGAGATTTGATAACAGCAAAATCCTATGAAATGAATTAAAACACACATTATTGGAGTTAATATAATCTGAATTTATTTCCAAAAGAGTGAGATATTTGGATTATGAAGAAGAAGAGCAATCAGACAGATTGACGCAATCAAGACCTCTGAGAAGTGTATATGTAATTAGGGAACTTTACATCAAAGTACAGGATAAACAGGAGAACTTCAGTCTAACATTTCTTTCTAAAGGCAGATACTTGGTAACCTAAGACTGTAATATGGGAGGCACATTCTCATTTCCTGGAACCAGCTATCAAAAACATTCTTTATGCAGCAACAAGAAGAACAAATTGGCTAAAAATCTTGTTGAAACGGGGAGAAAGACCACATGGATTTAAGGCTAGCTTTCTTTCCAACACATAGCTGCTGCCATCTCCGACTCCACCTCTGTACAAATAACATTATAGTTACAGCTGATACCTGCATATCCTCGGCCTTCTATAGCCATTAGAGGCCATGGGAATGTTTACCAGAGTAGTGTAAAGGTGCCCTGCGTAAATGAGAACAAAGCACAGAAAATTTTAGGGACAAGAAACAACCTTCTAGCTCAATATACAGATAAAGGCCTGCTAGCCTTTTCAAAATGTGCCCTTACTTCCTCTACCTTCCTGCATTTTTATCGTACCCTACTATCCTCTCCTTTTCTGGAAACAAATATAAGTGTCTCATGGACTCATTTGTACTCTGTACTTGCTGGCAAATTATTCCTTAAGGTTGTTTACCTATGCATAAAGCAGCTGTACCTCAGTTCCCCATTTAATCCATTTTGTCAGTCATTTTCCTGAGTTTTAGAAGAACCAATGTTAAAAAAGTTTCTCTTGACTTTGCCAGTCCCTGGAAACTTTTATTCTGTCACCTCAAGGCCATCTCTTTATCAGTAAGAATAAGCCCAAATCCTTACTCTTGAATCATGAATTAGACTCTTCAGCGTTGCCCTTCTCCGTATCCAAAGACAATAATATATTTCCAGTGGTATTGTAACTGCATGGAATATCCCAATGGCATCTTGCAAGCGCCTCACAAAGTAAATGGCCAATCCAAAACCCTTTGAAGTCAATGGAAAGGCCCTAAATTTCCAATCCTGCAAATTGAAGCTCCCTGAGTGGACCGTTACACAGGTAGAGTTTTGTTTACTTTAGTGGAACTCTGCATAGTAAAGGTAGATCAAGTGGATCATTTTGCACATTTGAGACCTAGCATAGTATGATTTGGGGTGGGAGTGGGCAGCTGCGCCACTGTAGTGCTTAGTGAAGATTCTACTTATGCCAATGGGAGAGCTTCTTCCATCAGCGTAGATACTCCAACTCCATGGGAGGTGGTAGCTATGTCAACAGGAGAAGCCACTGGGAGTTAGGTCAGTATACATCACTCAGGACTGTGGAGTTATACCAACATAAATTTGTAGTGTAGGCTAATCTGCTAATCTGCAAATCCTTTTCCTGATCAAAATGCTGGATTATTCTTTTATTTAGCTCATATTCCCCTGACTTGATCTATGCTCACAGACTAGTATTTTTGCAATTTCATGCATTGAAATGTGTTTGTCATCTGCTGGCCCAATCATTAAACAATTCTGATCGCTTTGAATCTGGCTGTAATGCTCCTCCTTATTTACTTTACTTCTAGTCTCTTTGTGACACCTGCAGAATTGGGGAACTCATATTTAGTGTCATTGCCCATATCATTTTATATGTTAACAACAATAAATATCCTAAAAGTGA